GGGGAGGAATGCTGTCTAAAATTTGGGAGACTGCTGATAGTAGGCCCGCCCTGGCCCCTGGGGACTCAACCCCCAGTTCTTTGTTATGCATGTCAATGTGGCCAGCTCACAAGGCCATGACGCAGGCTTGCGGTTCCCTGTTTATCTGCCTCGCACATATGTGTCTCGGGAACATCTTGACCTGTTCGAGCCTCCTGATAGGGGACGGTGACATGACGGTAACCCAAGGACGCAGTTATTACTCTCCCCTCCTCACTTTTGAGTAATTTCCCGCAGCTGTTAAAAAGATATATAAGGGGAACAAATCTGGCAATAAAGCGCGGCGCACACGCTCCCTCCTGGATGAAGAACCTTGGTGTCCTGTGTATTTTTTAACCCCGACGTCCCTCGCCGGACTCGGCTCCGTTGGCCGGACGCGGCAGGAGACACTGTAGAACTTCACTTTTTAAAGATCTTATCCTTGTTAATCTGCTATACCCAGAAACCTAGCTGTACTTAAATATGTAAGTATACATGGAAATTTTTCCTGCATAATCTTAATAGAACTTAATCAAAGATGGGGTTAATTATGATTGTCACTTCTGATTGGGTGTAGTTTTAAAAGTGTTGAAGGAGCATCTCATTATTAACCTGACTCCATTTTGCTTCTCCCGGATCTTTCCTTTTCTGAGTTGCTCTTTCGAAACCTCAGTGTATTTTAAATTCCAGGATCGCAGGGGCTGATAAACATTCAGAGAACTAAATGGAGACTGTTCCCTAAGTAGTGGCAATTTCCTTGAGACTAATAAGATTCTGGATGACCAGGCCCAAGATAATGATCAACCAGATTATGACCTAACTGGGATTGCCTTTGTTCTCTCACAGCTATATAACCTCAAGGTAGCTCCTGATTCCCCAAAGACAACCCTAAGATCTGTCTTCCCAGTGTGGCTGCACTGAAATTGAAGTTCTCTTCTTGTTTCACCACTGACTCCTCTACCTGTTTTGTTTTTTTTGAGTGGGGGATGAGTGGCTAAATCTAATCTGTTGGGACCCCTAGAGTCGGGCTTCTGCGCTGGGACTGTGGTAATCGTGTCGAGTATAACTCAATACATGGCTTTTCAGTCCGTTTTAAGATACTGGAAAGTAGAGGCTGTGAGTGTAGCTCAGTGGTAGGATAGGTGTCTATGCTCAAGGGCCTGGGCTCAGTCTCTATCACCAATAAGATATTTAAAATCAAATTTAAGAATGTAAGAAATTTCTACTTTGCTGTATAAACTGGTTACATTGCTTACAAACATTCCTGAATGCTTTCAGGATTAGTTATCATGTCAGCAGCCACTTGCAACTGTCTACACAAATGAAATTGTTGGCTCCAACAATCAGGTCAACAAAATTATCTCATTTATGTCCCAGGTCACTAACTTCTACAATGCCTTAGATGAAAATTAAGAAAAAATAGCAAATTTAAAAAGAAGCAAATATTACTATAATACTAGAAAGAAAAAAATATTCTTTGTATAATATAATTTCCTAACAAGTTCTTATCATTTCTGGTCCTTATGTAAACTGTTTGTACTTGTTGGTTGTCCCACTATTTCCACACAGTATAAATCAGATTCCTCTGACTTCATCATGGTTAGATGTGTAGGGCCCCTTACTCCCTTTTTAATTTCTCTGGACTTAAATATACATAATAGGGATATTTGTTTTAAACCCTTTGTTTAAAAGAATTTGGGCTCACTTAGACTCTTGTTTGTGTGTCTATAACTACATTTTAAAGTATGCATTCAATTTCTTTAATGGTTAAAATTCTATTTTTGAATAGGTTCTAGAGAAATATTTGGATTTAGTATTTTTAGAAATATTTTGGTATTTCTTTGGAAACTTCTGTTTCCAATTTGTGGTATAACATTGTTCATATTACTAAGATTTCTATGATAGGTGTACTTGTGCTTTTTCATTTTTTGGATTCCTCCTGTCTTCCAAGGGTTATGAAATTGTATCCCGCTATTTTTACAGCTTAGAATCATGAATGAAATTGAACATCTTAAACAGTTAGTGGCGATTCATGATCCTGTTCTGTGAGTTGTATATTCTAGACTTTGATTATTTTACTTTTTAAAAAAAAAGTTGTTTTTAAAAAAATTTTTTTTTGTAATTGTAGATGGAAAGACTACCTTTATTTTATTTGTTTATTTTTCTGGGGTGCTGAGGATTGAATCCAGTGCCTCATACATGCTAGGCAAGTGCTGTGCCACTGAGCCCCAGCTCCAGCCCTACTTTTTGAGTTTTGATGAACCTTTATTTATTTATATGTTGTGCTGAGAACCAAACCCAGTAAGTAAGTGCCCTACCACTGAGCCACAACCCAGCCCCTTGAATTTAATAATTTTCAGTGGTTTGTTTCTTATTACTTGTTAGCTGGATCTTTTTATAGGTGATCAGGCTTGTCTTTGCATTTACTGTAGTTTCATTACAATATTTTATTTTATTCATCCTGATTGAGACTCATTAAGAATCATGGGCTCTTGTCTTCATCATTCTGGAAATTTTTCAGGTACTCAATATTCAAATATTGTCTCTATTCCATTATTATTTTTGGGGGTACCAGAGGTTGAACTCAGGGGCACCCAACCACTGTGTCACATCACCAGCGCTATTTTGTATTTTATTTACAGACAGTGTCTCAATGAGTAGCTTAGCACCTTGCTGTTGCTGAGGCTGGCTTTGAACTTGTGATCCTTCTGCTTCAGCCTCCCAAACTGCTGGGATTATAGGCATGCACCATTGCACCCAGCTATTCCATTATTTTTATCCTCTGTTTCAGGAATTCCACTGGACATGGGACATGGAAATAGACTGCTTCAATCTTCTAGGTCTCTTAAACTCTGTGACAGACAGTCCTAGCTGGTTAACTTAACAGTCATTCCCAGCCTCTCTTTCTCTTGTAGGCTTCCCTCTGAAGAGGCTGGAAAATGTTATATGTTGACTCTCTTAAAAGCCCTTGCAGTCAGGGTGGTCATGTAACAGTACTGACAGTGAACTGGAGGGACTCCAGGAAGCCTTTTGCTTTCCTTATCAAAGGAGAAAGATATGAAGGATTTGCTCTATTCCTTCCCTCTTCTCCCTTCCCTGCAGGTGGGAATAATGTCTGGAGTTTGGTAGTCACATTAAACCACAGAGAAATATGAGAATAAAGAGCCAACAGATAGATTGTGGAGTGCAGTGAAGAGACATTCCAGGTCTTTTATTAAAACACTGAGCAGTGAACTAAACCTGAAAATACGTTTGAACTTCTCATTAAAATAAAAAAAAATTCTTTGTGATTTCAAGCAACTGTTAGTTGGGTTTTCCATTTCTTGAAGCTGAATGTATACTGATAAAAGCCCCCTATTATATTTTCCATTTTTGATTGTTTTATATTCTGAGCAATCTCCTTATATTTATTTTCTAGTTCAGTAGTTCTTTCTTTTGCTGTATCTAATCAGTTTGGCAACTCATGTCATTGTTTTTTTAATTCCAAATTTTCATTTGTAGAAGCTTTACCTGATTACTTTTCCAAAACTCTTTTTTATACTATCAAGGTCCTTCCTTATTGTTTCTATTCCTCCTTTTGGGTCTCTTTTAATAAATTTAAATGTAGTCAATGTAAAGTCCTTCATTATTATTTTTGTGTTTTTTTTTTTTTGTACCGAGGATTGAACTCAGGGGCACTCGACCACTAAACCACATCCCCAGCCCTATTTTGTATTTTATTTAGAGTCAGGTCTTACTGAGTTGCTTAGTGCCTTGCTCCACTGCATGTGGCACAGGTCTTTCAATATCAATCTCCAGTTCTGGTAGATAATCCTCTTGCTTGTTGTACCTACTGACTGGCTTAGTTGGTAGAGTGATCTGGATGATTCGGAATTCTGACTTGTGAGCCTATTTCTAGCAGCCATTGTATTACCAAGAGATTTCTGCATCAAAGAGTAGAAGCCAAGGGCTTTGCACAGCACAGATACAAATTTGGACTCTAAATGTTACCTGGCTCTTTTTTTTCCTTACAAGAGATTTTTTTTTTTTTTTTCCCTCCCACAAAACATCCAAGGTGGAGATAAACTTCTTCATTACTTTTCTGAATGATGCAGGTGTAGCTTTTAAAATCTCAAGATTTTAAAATCCTTTCACTAAGAGGAAGAGTACACTGTGAGCCCTGGTTTCATGTGGGGCTCTCAGTACTAGTGCTTTGTTTAAGGGAGCTTAGATTCTTATCTCTTGTTCCTGTGATTAAATAAAGCCTGCAGCCACTAGGGTTTATGAGTATCTACTTATTATAAGCCCTATATCACCAGCCCCATCTCTGCCCCCTAGGGTTGCCATGATCTCAGGTCATGCCTTATGGTTTGGTTTTTATTTTCTAAATTTCAGGCATCTGTTTATTTTCTATTTTTTTCCAAAAGCTTGATTACATATTGACATTTAAACATTTTTTTACAATTTTATTTATTCTAATTAGATATATATGAAAGCAGAATGCAGTTCAATTTGTATACACAAACAGAGCACAGTTTTTTGTGTCTCTGGTTGAATGCATCGACACTTTATTTATTTAAAAAAGTTTTTTAGCTATAGTTGGACACGATACCTTTATTTTACTTATTTTATGTGACGCTGAGGATCGAACCCAGTGCCTTGCATGTGCTAGGCAAGCGCTCTGCCGCTGAGCCACAACCTCGACCATGTATCGACATTTTAAAAAATGATATTTTATTGGGATTTCTAGATGATTTGTGGGCTTTAATGATAATTCAGCCCACTGTATTTCCAGAACTGAAATTTATCCAGTGAAATCTTAATTGAAAAAACACTAAATCATTTGTGATCAGACAAACTGGATAAATTTGTACAGGGATCATGAGTAACAGATCTGCAAATAGATTTTGGTGTTTTATAAGAAACTGTCTAGTGGATGGCATAAAATTCTTTCTCATATATATAGAATAAAATATAAAAAGGATACAAAATAGGATACTTACCAAGCTGGGTTTGATTCCTACACTTTCAGCTGCTTCAAATGCCAATAAGAGATTCTTCTTCTAGGTTAGAAAGACAAAGAGGATAAAATCATCATCTTTTTTAAAAAAGTAGTTTTTGCTAAAAGAGAACATCAGTTGACAATCCCCTATAGATTAATTAAATATGCAATCAATGTCTCAGTTTGAGGATTAACTTATTATAATTACATTGAAAACAACATTATTGTCATCTATCAAAGATCCATAGTTCCAAAGTCATGATCCTCTGCCACTCAATAAATGGTTTCAAGTTGGGTGCAGTGGCACATGCCTGTAATCCCATTAACTCAGAAGGCTCAGGCAGGAGGATCTCAAGTTCAAGCACAGCTCTGGTAACTTAGGGAGACCCTCAGCAACTTAGGGAGAATCTGTTTCAAAATTAAAAATTAAAAAAAAAAAAGGACTTTATATGTAAATCAGTGGTAAAGTGCCTCTGGATTCAGTCCCCAGAACAACAACAACAACACATTTGTTTCAAGAGGATTCTCTTCTTTATTACTCTACCCACTGATCAAATCATACCTCATTTTAGTCTGCTCCAGATTTGGATCTTTCTTCAAAAGTGTTTTTTTCCCTATAGTTTCTGCTTATTTAGACTTTTCTTAGTGGGAGAAGAACTTCGTGTCTCTTTTATCATCTGGCTTCTTACTCATTTTAATGAAAGCTTAAAGTTTACAATATTCTCCTGTGGCCCAAATTTTCCATTCTAACATGGAGGTACTGCCTCATGGACTGTGACTTCTCTGCATAGCTTCTCATTTTCTCTTTTTTCATACACTCAAGCTCTTAAACATACCATTCAACAAAATCCTTTAGCCCAGAGCCCTCTAGAACCTCGTATGAATTTCTGGATTATATCCCAGTCTTACTAGAGTACATTCTTAGGTTTTCTTCTAAGGTAAGAATGTGGGGGAAAAACATTTTCTGGATGTAATCACATGTGACAATATCTATATTCTTTTTATTTATTTATTTTAATTAGGTATATATGACAGCAGAATGCATTTTGATTCATTGTACACAATTACACACAATTTTTCATTTCTCTGGTTATACATGGTGTAGCATTGCACAATATGTGTAGTCATACATGTACTTAGGGCAATGATGTCCATCTCATTCCACCATCTTTCCTGCCCCCATGCATCCTCCTCATCCCCACCCTTTGCCCAATCAAAATTCCTCCACACACGCCTTCCCCAACCATGGATCAGCATCCACTTATCAGAGAGAACATTTGGCCTTTGTTTATTTTTTGGGATTGGCTTACTTCGCTTACCATGATATTCTCCAACTCCATCCATTTACCTGCAAATGCCATGATTTTATTCTCTTTTAATGCGGAGTAATATTCCATTGTGTATATATGCCACAGTTTCTTTATCCATTCACCTATGGAAGGGCATCTAGGTTGCTTCCACAATTTAGTTACTGTGAATTGAGCTGCTATGAACATTGATATGACTGTGTTACTATAGTATGTTGATTTTAAGTCCTTTGGGTATAGACCAAGGAGTGGGGTAGCTAGGTCAAAACAAAGTCTCTTCTACCATCACACTTGGTTAAACAGTTTGACTGGACAGAAAATTCGACATTGAAAATAATTTTTCTTTAGAAAAGTAATAGTGCTGCTCCACTCCTGAAACTCTTTCTGGCTATTCTTTAATGTTTCTTTGGAGAGATGAACTTAAGAATCATTTGGTCATGTTTTTAATTTGGTCATAATTCATTTTAAAGCCATTAGGATTTATTAAAATTTAAAATTGGTGAATTAAATATTATTGAGAGAAAAATGTTCCACTACCTATTCATGTTCTTTTGTTTTTTGCAGTGTTAGGGATTGAACCTAAGAGTTCACATGTGGTAGGCAAGCATTCTAACACTAAGCTATGTCTTCAGTCCTTTTTATTTTAGAGACTTGGTCTCATTAAGTTGCTGAGGCTGGCCTCAAATTTATAATCCTCCTACTTCAGCCTTCCATGTGGCGAGGATTACAGGCATGTGTGACTATGCCTGGTTGGTAGAAATTCATAATTTTATATACTTAGGTATTATACATAAGCACATTTGGTAGTACACACCCACAGTCCCATGTACTTGGGAGGCTAAAGTAGAAAGATGGCTCAGTCTAGGAGTTAAAAGCCAGCCTGAGCATCATAACAAGTCCCTGACTCAAGATAAAATAAAAAGGGCTGAGGATATAGCTCAGTGGTAAAGAACCCTTGAGTTCTATCCCTAGCACTGGAGGAAAAAAAGATTTTATACAGAATTTTATACTCTATTCCATTTCCCCCATAGCTTTCACTCTGTCTGAGACTAAAGGGTTTGCCCTGACAGTAAAACCAACTCTGAGAAACCCAGTGAGAGAGAAGACCCAGAAAGATGTGGCTATGTTTCTTCCAGCTGGTGGTTGAGGCTTTGAGAAGCTGTGTTCTGGCCTAAGATTCCAACTTTTTTCCTTGAAATTAAGAGGTATTAATCAGTTTGTCTGTAAATCTCGCACTTGCTTCCATAACACTGTTCTACTGAGTTGGAGCACTGTGCATTGGTTTCCATATTCAATGCAGCCCAAAGCACTCTCCTATGTTGGTGCTAATGACGCCTTTTTCTTATTGTAAAGTTCTTTGGGTTAGAATAATAAGGGGCTCTGTAAGCCTGTTTTTAGGTGATCATCACTCCTGGAAGTCAAGATACAAACATTTTTATGGCTTTTGAGATGTACTTTCAAATTGCTTTCCAAAAGGTTATACCAATTTCCTTTCTAGCAGTAGTGCCCATTTTTGGTACCCTTACCTGGACAGAATATTAGGACTTCCAAAAGGCTCTGTCAAATGTGTCAGACTTAAATAAGATATTTTATTTTTTATCTGTATTCTTGGATTAATAGTAAGATCTAAAATGAAGGCATTTCTATTTTTCTTTTTCTTTTTTTTTTTTAGGTTTAGTACTGGGGATTGAACTGAAGGGCACTTAACCAGTGAGCCACATCTCCAGCCCTTTTTTGTATTTTATTTAACAACAGGGTTTCACTGAGTTGCTTAGTGCCTTGATAAGTTGCTAAGGCTGGCTTTGAACTCATGATCCTCCTGAGCCACTAGGATTACAGGCATGCGCCATGGTGCCCAGCTAGGTGAAGGCATTTCTTTTTTTTTTTTTTTTTTTTAAATATTTATTTTTTAGTTTTCGGCGGACACAACATCTTTGTTTGTATGTGGTGCTGAGGATCGAACCCGGGCCGCACGCATGCCAGGCGAGCGTGCTACCGCTTGAGCCATATCCCCAGCCCATGAAGGCATTTCTAAGTAAAGATTTTATAGGGAACTCTCAAGGCCCTCTAGTGTGATTTACATAAAACCAATTGTGTTTCTTTGCAGTTATGACAGAATAATCCATACTGTAAAATTTTCTCAAATGCTCTGACTTGAATGACCAGGCATCACTATCCTAGTACTCTTTCACTGGAACGTTGTCACAGGCACTGTGTAGCAGCTTCTGACAGGAGGAAAGAGTTTATTTTTTATTTTTTGGGGGTACCAGGGATTGAACTCAGGGGTGCTCAACCACTGAAGTCACATCCCCAGCCCGATTTCTCTTATTTATTTGTTTATTTTACTTATAGGTAGACACAATATCTTTATTTTGTTTTTTATGTGGTGCTGAGGATCGAACCCAGTGACTCATGCATGCTAGGCAAGCACTCTACTACTGAGCCCAGCTCCAGCCCTATTTCATATTTTATTTAGAGATAAGGTCTCACTGAGTTGTTTAATGCCTCGCCAAGGCTGAGGCTGGCTTTGAACTTGCGATCCTGCCATCTCAGCCTCCCATGACACTGGGATTACCATTCCCAGCTAAAGGTAAGCCCTCTAAAGAAGCTGGGGGTGGGAACTCATTTGTCTACAAGATGTGAGCTTCAGTTGGGCCTCTGCCAACCAAGTGGGGACAGTGTGAGGCTGTCCTGCAGTGTCTGCCCTGGGGAAGAAGGTGTAGGTAGGCCTGAGACCTTCCAGTTCCAAGACAGTCTAAATCCTCAACCTATAGTATAACTGTCACCAGCCTGGCTAGCGGGGGTTGAGCTGTTGGAATACCTCTCCTGAAACTGAAGGGAGAAATGATGCCAATTCTAGAAATTCTCCTCTCACATTCATATTTCATTTCAGATCTTAAAATAAGCATACTCCATTCAATCACCTGACTATAACTCATGCCCTGTGACTGCATATCCTTTTAATGTCACAGAAGACATCCTTGTTAGTTTTATCAGAAATTCCCTATTTAAAACCGGTGTCAACTTTACTTGCTTTAATTACTTTCATCCATATGGGAGCAGCTCATGATTTCAGAAACTTCTGGGATAATCAATAGCTATATCATAAAGTTTCATTTTAAAAAAGATTATTTACTCATTTACTTAGTTATTTTGGTTCTCAGTTCTCTACCACTGAGCTACACCTCCAGTTCCTATATCCTATAATCTATAGATCACAATTTTAATAGACTTTTACAGATATTATAAGGCCTCTTTTTATGCCCCCTTTTAAAAAATATTTTTAGTTGTAGATGGACATAATTATTTTATTTATTTTTGCATGTGGTGCTGAGGATCAAACCCAGTGCCTCACGAGTGATAGGCAAGTGCTCTACCACTGAGCCCTACCCCAGCCTTCTCTTAGTGCCCTTTTTGATGTCTATGTACTCTAAAAGACCCTCTAAAAAAACAAAACCCCAACACTGAGGCTTGCCAGAACAAGGCTGCAGGCTAGAGTCTGGATGATGTTCAGTCATCCTAAGGATATCTGAGGTCTGTGTTTCATTCAAGTCAACTTGTTTCCATAGAAACCCACTTCAAATATGCCCTTGATAGGGGACAGTCTGACATGAGTGGTGGGAACATGAGGCTGAAGGAATAATTCTATAAACTGGGCACACTGTGCTGACCTCCACATGCTTTTACTTCTAAAAAGCAATTTACCTGCAGCCCTGCCTGGCTTCAGTCCACAGGACATGTTACATTCCTCAGC